GTTTTGGGGACAGGAGTGCCACCCTGGCACCAGTATACGTCATAGGGACTGCCACCGTGATACTGGTGCCCACCATGGGGACACCACTGTCACCCTAGCACTGGTGCCCACCTTGGGGACAGGAGTGCCACCCTGGCACCAGTATACGGCTTGGGGACTGCCACCATGGTACTGGTGCCTGTTTTGGGGACAGGACTGCTGCCCTGGCACTGGTTTTGGGGACAGGACTGCCACCCTGGCTCTGGTGCCCCCCATGGGGACAGGAGTGCCACCCTGGCACCAGTATACGGCTTGGGGACTGCCACCATGGTACTGGTGCCTGTTTTGGGGACAGGACTGCTGCCCTGGCACTGGTTTTGGGGACAGGACTGCCACCCTGGCTCTGGTGCCCCCCATGGGGACAGGAGTGCCACCCTGGCACCAGTATACGGCTTGGGGACTGCCACCATGGTACTGGTGCCTGTTTTGGGGACAGGACTGCTGCCCTGGCACTGGTTTTGGGGACAGGACTGCCACCCTGGCTCTGGTGCCCCCCATGGGGACAGGAGTGCCACCCTGGCACCAGTATACGGCTTGGGGACTGCCACCATGGTACTGGTGCCTGTTTTGGGGACAGGACTGCTGCCCTGGCACTGGTTTTGGGGACAGGACTGCCACCCTGGCTCTGGTGCCCCCCATGGGGACAGGAGTGCCACCCTGGCACCAGTATACGGCTTGGGGACTGCCACCATGGTACTGGTGCCTGTTTTGGGGACAGGACTGCTGCCCTGGCACTGGTTTTGGGGACAGGACTGCCACCCTGGCTCTGGTGCCCCCCATGGGGACAGGAGTGCCACCCTGGCACCAGTATACGGCTTGGGGACTGCCACCATGGTACTGGTGCCTGTTTTGGGGACAGGACTGCTGCCCTGGCACTGGTTTTGGGGACAGGACTGCCACCCTGGCTCTGGTGCCCCCCATGGGGACAGGAGTGCCACCCTGGCACCAGTATACGGCTTGGGGACTGCCACCATGGTACTGGTGCCTGTTTTGGGGACAGGACTGCTGCCCTGGCACTGGTTTTGGGGACAGGACTGCCACCCTGGCTCTGGTGCCCCCCATGGGGACAGGAGTGCCACCCTGGCACCAGTATACGGCTTGGGGACTGCCACCATGGTACTGGTGCCTGTTTTGGGGACAGGACTGCTGCCCTGGCACTGGTTTTGGGGACAGGACTGCCACCCTGGCTCTGGTGCCCCCCATGGGGACAGGAGTGCCACCCTGGCACCAGTATACGGCTTGGGGACTGCCACCATGGTACTGGTGCCTGTTTTGGGGACAGGACTGCTGCCCTGGCACTGGTTTTGGGGACAGGACTGCCACCCTGGCTCTGGTGCCCCCCATGGGGACAGGAGTGCCACCCTGGCACCAGTATACGGCTTGGGGACTGCCACCATGGTACTGGTGCCTGTTTTGGGGACAGGACTGCTGCCCTGGCACTGGTTTTGGGGACAGGACTGCCACCCTGGCTCTGGTGCCCCCCATGGGGACAGGAGTGCCACCCTGGCACCAGTATACGGCTTGGGGACTGCCACCATGGTACTGGTGCCTGTTTTGGGGACAGGACTGCTGCCCTGGCACTGGTTTTGGGGACAGGACTGCCACCCTGGCTCTGGTGCCCCCCATGGGGACAGGAGTGCCACCCTGGCACCAGTATACGGCTTGGGGACTGCCACCATGGTACTGGTGCCTGTTTTGGGGACAGGACTGCTGCCCTGGCACTGGTTTTGGGGACAGGACTGCCACCCTGGCTCTGGTGCCCCCCATGGGGACAGGAGTGCCACCCTGGCACCAGTATACGGCTTGGGGACTGCCACCATGGTACTGGTGCCTGTTTTGGGGACAGGACTGCTGCCCTGGCACTGGTTTTGGGGACAGGACTGCCACCCTGGCTCTGGTGCCCCCCATGGGGACAGGAGTGCCACCCTGGCACCAGTATACGGCTTGGGGACTGCCACCATGGTACTGGTGCCTGTTTTGGGGACAGGACTGCTGCCCTGGCACTGGTTTTGGGGACAGGACTGCCACCCTGGCTCTGGTGCCCCCCATGGGGACAGGAGTGCCACCCTGGCACCAGTATACGGCTTGGGGACTGCCACCATGGTACTGGTGCCTGTTTTGGGGACAGGACTGCTGCCCTGGCACTGGTTTTGGGGACAGGACTGCCACCCTGGCTCTGGTGCCCCCCATGGGGACAGGAGTGCCACCCTGGCACCAGTATACGTCATAGGGACTGCCACCGTGATACTGGTGCCCACCATGGGGACAGGAGTGCCACCCTGGCACCAGTATACGGCTTGGGGACTGCCACCATGGTACTGGTGCCTGTTTTGGGGACAGGACTGCTGCCCTGGCACTGGTTTTGGGGACAGGAATGCCACCCTGGCTCTGGTGCCCACCATGGGGACAGGAGTGCCACCCTGGCACCAGTATACGTCATAGGGACTGCCACCGTGATACTGGTGCCCACCATGGGGACACCACTGTCACCCTAGCACTGGTGCCCACCTTGGGGACAGGAGTGCCACCCTGGCACCAGTATACGGCTTGGGGACTGCCACCATGGTACTGGTGCCTGTTTTGGGGACAGGACTGCTGCCCTGGCACTGGTTTTGGGGACAGGAATGCCACCCTGGCTCTGGTGCCCACCATGGGGACAGGAGTGCCACCCTGGCACCAGTATACGTCATAGGGACTGCCACCATGGTACTGGTGCCCATCTTGGGGACAGGACTGTAACCTGGCACTGGTTTTGGGGACAGGACTGTCACCCTGACACTGGTGCCCACCTTGGGGACAGGAATGTCACCCTGGCACTGGTGCCCACCTTTTGAGACTGCCACCTCAGCACTGGTGCCCACCTTGGGGACAGGGCTGCCACCTTGGCACCGGTACCCATTTTGGGGACTTCCACCCCAAACCACCACCTTGGGCACTGCCACCCTGGCACTGGTGCCCATTTTGGGGACTTTCACCGCAGAACTGGTGCCCACCTCGGGGACAGGACTGCCACCCCGGCACTGGCACCCCTTTTGGGAACTGCCACTTGGTCTTGGGGTCTTGGGGACCACTGCCAACTGGTTTTGGGGACAGGACTGCCACCTTGGCACTGGTGCCCGTTTTGGGGACTTCCACCCCAAAACCAACACCTTGGGCACTGCCACCTTGGCACCAGTACCCATTTTGGGGACTTTCACCCCAAACCACCATCTTGGGCACTGCCACCCTGGCATCGGTGCCCATTTTGGGGCCTTTCACCCCAAACCACCACCTTGGGCACTGCCACCCTGGCACTGGTGCTCATTTTGGGGACTTTCACCCCAAAACCACCACCTTGGGCACTGCCAGCTTGGCACTGGTGCCCATTTTGGGGACTTTCACCCCAAACCCCCACTTTGGGGACTGCCACCTTGGCACCGGTGCCCATTTTGGGGACTTTCACCCCAAACCCCCACCTTGGGCACTGCCACCTTGGCACTGGTGCCCGTTTTGGGGACTTCCACCCCAAACCATCACCTTGGGCACTGCCACCTTGGCACTGGTGCTCATTTTGGGGACTTTCACCCCAAACCCCCACCTTGGGCACTGCCACCTTGGCACTGGTGCTCATTTTGGGGACTTTCACCCCAAACCCCCACCTTGGGCACTGCCACCTTGGCACTGGTGCTCATTTTGGGGACTTTCACCCCAAACCCCCACCTTGGGCACTGCCACCTTGGCACTGGTGCTCATTTTGGGGACTTTCACCCCAAACCCCCACCTTGGGCACTGCCACCTTGGCACTGGTGCTCATTTTGGGGACTTTCACCCCAAACCCCCACCTTGGGCACTGCCACCTTGGCACTGGTGCTCATTTTGGGGACTTTCACCCCAAACCCCCACCTTGGGCACTGCCACCTTGGCACTGGTGCTCATTTTGGGGACTTTCACCCCAAACCCCCACCTTGGGCACTGCCACCTTGGCACTGGTGCTCATTTTGGGGACTTTCACCCCAAACCCCCACCTTGGGCACTGCCACCTTGGCACTGGTGCCCGTTTTGGGGACTTCCACCCCAAAACCAACACCTTGGGCACTGCCACCTTGGCACCAGTACCCATTTTGGGGACTTTCACCCCAAACCACCATCTTGGGCACTGCCACCCTGGCATCGGTGCCCATTTTGGGGCCTTTCACCCCAAACCACCACCTTGGGCACTGCCACCTTGGCACTGGTGCTCATTTTGGGGACTTTCACCCCAAAACCACCACCTTGGGCACTGCCAGCTTGGCACTGGTGCCCATTTTGGGGACTTTCACCCCAAACCCCCACTTTGGGGACTGCCACCTTGGCACCGGTGCCCATTTTGGGGACTTTCACCCCAAAACACCACCTTGGGCACTGCCACCTTGGTACCGGTGCCCATTTTGGGGACTTTCACCCCAAAACCAACACCCACCTTGGGGACTGTCACCCCCCAGCACCGATACTGGTTTTTGGGGGGACAACTGCCACCCAACACCCCCTCATGGGGGGGGTGAGGGGGTGGGGGGTGGCACCAGTGCCACATCCCCCCCTCCTGGACCTTGTGGGGTGGGGGGGGTGGCACCGAGCCCCCCCCCTCCTTTTTTGGGCAGCGGCCACAGGATGATTTTTTGGGACGATTTAAGGATTTTTTCTTCCTGACAACTTTTCTAATGCCCCCCCCCCTTCCCTTTTTGCCCCCCC